TTAATTTCCTTTTTATTACCTTAAAATTATTTAATATTTTTCTTTTATTTTTATTTATATTATTTGTTTTGTTATTATTCAGATATTCTTTTACACAAACACACTCACTTCATTATCATTTCTTATTTATTTTTCTACATTATTTCGCTTTGTTGTTGTTGCTTGTATCTATTCACATCATTCATTCATTCTTTTTCTATTATTTTCATATAGATTCTATTTCTTTTTTTATTTTTGCGTTATTCCTCTCTTGTATTATTTACTATTTCACATAATTTTATTTTTTTTCTATTCTTCTTCTTTTTGTTATGGTGTTGTTGTATTATTTCATTCTTTATTTATTTTTTTCTATAAACACACGCGCTGCGACTTCCGCACGTTGCTTCTTTTATCACGACGGCGTTCGATTAACTATAAATATTGCAAAGCTAAATTTTGCCACTTGCTCCAACAAGCACGATTGGGGAGAGCCGCAGTGTTGGCATAGCAAAAGTACTCTCTCACGAGTATTAAGTACCAAAGGCAAAACAAGAAGAAGGAATGATATTGAAATAATATTTATATATAATATCGTTATAAATAATATTTATTTTATTAAGTTTATTAAAATATTATTTTTTTAATATGTTTTTTATTTAATTTTATTGAAAAAGTTTAATTTATTGCCTCTAACAAATGCCAACACTGTTGAGAGTTTAGCTCCTCTCCCATATGTGACGTTGAAAGCTCTCTTTATTGCCATGCAGTGATGCCCTGGCAAGTTGTCATATGAAAAGTGCTGCCAAGTTATATGAGTACTGATTACCCATTGACGTTTCTAACAGGAAGAGTGCAAGCGATTCGGTGAAAATAACAACAAAACCGTTAATTTAAATAATAGACAATGACATGTATAGTATATTTTTAAAATGATATTAAATTAATTATATGGTGTTACAATAGTAATAAAATATGTATAAATTAGAAATTACCATATGATTAAAGTGACATTGCTGACAAACAGCAATTTGGCAATTGGCTTTGTGGTGGATGATATGGGGAGTATAAGGCATTTTTTCCTTATATTTATATATGGTATGTTCCCGTATTGCAAGAATCTACTCGATTTTACTATTTTCTTCGTTATCATAAAGGAAAATTCGTTATCGTAGTAAAAAGTAGTAGATTCTTGCAGTACGGGAACAGACCAATAGTGTGCAATGAAACTGAAATAACGGTTCATTTTTAATAGTGGTGTTGGCATTTATGAGGTTCTTTTAAAAGAATGGTGGCGCCCAATAATTAAAAATTTGCCGGTCAGAAGCACCACTTTCCGTCTAAAATTGATGAGACATATGCTTCAAAAAATACAAAAATTTTTTGAATCAGATTTTACAAATTAGTTAATTGTAGTGTACTTTAAAAGTACAAATAGTAAGGCGTGGAAAAATTATTGAAGGAGGTTTCATAATGTAATTAAACTCACCAATAGTTTCAAAATTAGTTTCGTTTCGATATAACAAATTTCCATTTTTTATAAATGGTTTAGTTCCAATTTAGATTAGGCGAGTTTACTTGCGGCAAGTTTTTGTTTGCTGGAGGGAGGGGGCAAGGGGAATAGAAATGGAAAAAATTGCTCGTACCGACAATTTTCTGGCAATTCGTTTTGTGTGTGTGTGTGTGTTTTTTTTTTTTTTTGTAGTGTCACTAATTTGAAATACCAATCCACAACATTTTCGAACATAAAAAAACACGCACAAAATATCAAAAAAAAAAAAAATAGTTTTGAAAATTGCCTTGTATAAACGCATGAAACAATTTCAAAAGCAGGGCTTAAAAAAGATTTCCAGCAAATTTTCTAATTAGAAAGACCATGTTCGGAAATGTTGTCTTCCACTTTATCTTTCTTACAATATGGCCTGGCCAACGATACGACTGACAATTCTTTAACAAGAACGCAGATCGCCCCATAGATCTTTCGGAGAATTTTTCTCTCAAACACTCCAACAGTTGCCTCCTCTGCTTGCAGAAGTACCCGTGCTTCAGTTCCATATAACAGCACGGATAGTATCAGCGCCTTGTTTCTTAACTGCATCTGTTGGCCATCACTATCCTTCTCCGAATTTCAAAACTGATGTCATTCGTTTTATTTATGGTGATCCCAAGGTATATAAAATCTTTAACTACCTCGAAGCTGTAGTTCTCAAGTTCCAAAGTTGATCCAAGTCTACTGAACGTCTTGCGCGTTGTTACCATCAGCTTGGTCTTCTCACCGTTTACTGCCAGACTCCTTCTCAATTTGTTCAAAGGTGGATGTTACCGCTCGCAATGTTCGACCCATTATATCGATGTCATCGGCGTAGGCGAGTGTCGCGCGTTGTTTGGTGTGCAGAGTGTCACTTCTGTTCAGATCATACGACAAACTGTCACTTGAATCCTCGTTCGGTTTGGTGTTTTACTCGTTGGAACATTTTCCAGACTTCATTCTGACTCCTGTACATCTCGATTTGTTCCCGCTCACAGTTTTTTGTTCTTTCTTCTATTTTCTGAAAATACGTTTCTTCTTTCCTCCCGATAATTCTCCATCGTATTACGTGTTGCTACTGTCTGCAGTGTAGCCCTATACGCTGCGTTTTTCAACTCAGTAGCATTACGACACTCCTGGTTATACCATGGGTTTCTTGATGGTGAACTTTAGTACCCAATTGTTGCTTTTGCTGAAGTTTGGAGGGAGTGGGCAATTCTTTGCCATTGTTATCGGGACAAGGAGTGAATTCGTCAAGCAAGTGGGAAAGTCGAGCGGACTAGGCTTCTGCTACCTGTTGAGTTTACAGCTTTTCGACTTCGAGTTTCCGTGTTAGATTAGATCGCACCTTTTCTGTTACGTTAAGACGGGAGTGAACCTTGGTTGCCACAAGGTAATGATACGATTGAACGTCAAAAATGTCGATCGATATATCGAACGTCAAAAACACTGGACGAATGCCTTTCGCCTATCACAACATGATAAATTTTCTTTGCTCGCTGCTTGATCAGGAGAAATCCAGGTGGCCTTGTGTATATCAAGATGCTTGAATCAGGTGCTGCTAACTACAATATTTTTTGCTGCCGCGAAGTCAATCAACCTCATGCAGTTCGTCTTTGGACGGCTCACAAGAAAGACGCATTTAAAGAGTTAATCACGCCTACGGGCTTAAAGAAAAGTACAAAATGGCGCTGTGTTAAGCTTTCGCTTAACTTGCCACGTGTTTTATTATCGAACTAAACGAAAAATATAAGAAGATTTCGTTTATCTCGTACATATGGTTTATGGTCTTACACCTTCTATTCTAGTGGACTACTTGGAGGAGGAACTACCTCCAGTTTTTAAAGAGATAAAAAAATCAACATCATGCCGCTGTCGGATGTTTTTTCATGAAGGCTGAATTTTCCGACGGTGGGGACAAATATATTATCCCTTCCGAATTTTGCATTAAAATCTCTTTGCAGAATTTTAATGTCATGGCCAGGGCCGCGGTCATATGATGTTTCAACGCGCTCGTAAAGTATGTCTTTGGTCTGCTCATCTTTGTCTTTCGTCGGAGCATGGGCGCAAATGAGACTGCTGCAATTCGCTCATCTGCACAAGTGCAGATTCGCAGATCGTGGTCCTTTATACGTTAGCGAGGGGGTTTGGTTTTATTTTGCGTTGCTTTTTCGCCTCAACCCATTTTTTATAGTGATGAAAATAGCTACCTCAGGTGACATCACGGGGAGGTCAGTGTCCACAATTGAAATGTTAAAGGGACCAAGATAAACCTGGGTTTTACCATGCTAGAGACAATCAGAGCCGTTGCTTGGTATCTATCATCTCAGCATGGAACTATGTGAGCGAAAAACAAAAAGAGCCATGAAAGAGAGAGTGAGATTCAAAGGAACTATCTAGGAGTCGTACCTATATGATAACACCCAAGTCAATTCCATTGACAACACATTGTTGTGATGAAGCGTGTTAAGGATCTTTGTTTCCTCATTGGAGTTATGAAGAGTCACCCTGTTGCAGTTCTCTAGGCTGACTATTGAACGTTGTGGTACACTAACGTTGGCAGAACACACTGCAGCTGCATAGTTTATTACAAACTGGCCTATCCCTGTATAGGTTGTCAAGATGTTTTCTTTATCAGATCACAAAGTGCTGCCGGCTAGTAACTTCATAACCTTGTTCCTGCTCCTGACCTTATTAGAAATGGGATGTGAACCCTAGAACCTAGAAGCCCTGAAAAATATTCTTTAAAAAACCCACGCCTTATAGAAGCCCTGAAAAAATATGCTTTAAAAAATCCACGCCTTATAGAAGCCCTGAAAAAATATGCTTTAAAAAATCCACAACTTTTAGAAGCCCTGAAAAAATATGCTTTAAAAAATCCACTCCTTATAGAAGCTCTCAAAAAATATGCTTTAAAAATTCCACGCCTTATAGAAGCCTTGAAAAACTATGCTTTAAAAAATCCACGCCTTATAGAAGCCTTGAAATAATATTCTCTAAAAACTTCACGCGTTTGCTAGACCCTGAAAAAATATTCTCTAAAAACTCCACGCCTTTGCTAGACCCTGAAAAAATATTCTTTAAAAGGCACGAAAGTCTTTTTCATAGAAATCCAGAAGATTTTCTTCATAGAAGGCCAGAAGGTCTTCTTCATACAAGCCCTTCAGGTATTCTTCATAGAAGGCCTTATTGGAATTACCAGAATATGAGACAGTTCATACGATTTCATAAAAAACATCATCTGCAAGCAACATTAGCCTGATGTGTGGCCAGCTGTCTAAACTACAAAACATCTGTTTCGATAAATCACATAAATCAAGTAATCGCTTAAATCGATAACATTGATCTTTCAAATGAAACGGCGGCATTTTGTCTTTGTTGTAGTTTTAGGCGCATTTTTCCCGTGTGTGAAATTTTTTTCTATCCATCGTTTAGACCATTTTGGTGGGGGTAACAACAATTGGGTTTTAACTATTGGATTATTGGACAAAATTAATAAAAAAAAGAAAACACAACTCACCAAACATGGATTTAAACGATGCCGTTCTCACCTGTGCCGTAAATCTACAATGGACAAATGCAACGGGGACAGTTGGCCGTAAATTGGCCTATCGTACGGCCACGTTAAGATTGATCCGTAACGATATACGGGAATTGTTCATCGAGTGTACCCCAGAAAAACTGAAACCAATGAAATTCAAAATGCGCGATATTATGGTGCACAAAAAGTTCATGTCTGAGGGTAAGGCTTCGGTGAATTTCAAGGCGGAAAAGTGTGCCATGTATTTATCCAATGCACCACCGGGTACCCTGATGTTTTTCTTGCGAACGATTTTCATAAAAATGAATGGTGGTGAGAATGTGGATGATGCCACGGCCCAGAAGCAGTTGAGAGCCCACATGCTCTCGGGGAAGCCAACTACATTTGAAGAGGTTTCCCCTGTGACAACAGCTGAAATGATTTTGGCCAGGAAGAAGGCAGGTCTATTGGCTTCCAAAGGTACGGCCACAACACCCTCACCCTTGGCAGCTAAAAAGAGACGTTATGACGAAATAAAGGGTGGCAGTGATAAAAGTGGCCTACCCGCACCCAAGAAACTTTATCAAGAATCATCGCCCATGGATACGGAAGAGGGATTGCGATTGTGCCAGGAACAAATGGATGTGCTGAAGGCATGCATCTCAGGGAAAAGTATATTCTTCACCGGCTCTGCGGGTACGGGTAAAAGTTTTTTGTTGAGGAAAATCATTTCCGCTTTGCCACCAGATGGCACCGTGGCAACAGCCTCGACTGGTGTGGCAGCTTGTTTGATAGGTAAGTTTTGGGCATGATGGATGGGGTTTGGAAATTAATTTGTTAATATTTGATTTTGTTTTCAGGTGGTGTAACCTTGCATGCCTTTGCCGGTATTGGAGGTGGCGATGCCACTTTGCAGCGTTGTTATGAATTGGCCTCTCGCCCGGCCAGTGCCCAGGCTTGGAGAAAATGTAAACGTTTAATTATCGATGAAATTTCCATGGTGGATGGCCAGTATTTTGATGTAAGTTTTGTAAATGATGCGCGAACTGATATTAAACATGACTTGAAGTACTAAAGTCCGTATTTCAAGTCAGTTCGCGGATCATTTTGACTTTTTTCAGCACATGTAATTCTAAAGACCTTTAAAAATATATGTGGAGCAAATTTCAAAATGATCCGCGAACTGACATCAAACGCGACTTGAAATACGGACTTTAGTACTTTTAGTCATGTTTAATGTCAGTTCGCGTAAGGCCAACGGAACGCAAAATATCTTTCAATCCTGACAGAATGCCCCTCCTGATGACTACAATAGGGTGTCTTCTCATGACTTCTCATGACCGAACAGTTATGATGCCATCGATACCGTCAACCATGCCGAGCTGTTCGATGACATAGAGAATACAAATCTCCGGCCGAGTTTCGAAACAGGAAGTCCAACCCCGAAGAGAGAAACATGAAGTTCCCTAAGGAGGGGTATTATTACCGTAATTCTTTATACCTTTTTGAAATTCCACAACCACCGGACGGCATAGATATCGTAATGTATGCGAATGATTGTACGGTAATGGCGTCGAATCCCATTATTAATGACATTTGTGAGAGGTTAAATTTCTACATATCTGATCTTGTGAATTTCCTCCATCTGAGGAATATGAAAGAATCTAACACCAAATCAATAGACACACACATGTACGGCTGAAATGAAGCTCCCGCCGAACATAATGGTCGATGGAGAATTGATCCTGACCACAAACTAAACCAAGATACTGGGTGTAACGTTTCAAGTTGACTGCGCAAGCAACTGCTTTATGTGATATGCTGAAAAGTAGGAACAATGTCCTCAAATCGCTAGCCGACAGCACTTGGACGCTGACAAAGAAACCTTGTTGACCTCTTATAAAGAAATAATTGTCTTAATCTAATGAAGAAGACTTTTTGGCCTTCCCCTAAAGAATAATACTATGTAATCTTCATCTAAAGAAGGTCTTTAGTTAAGAAGAAGATGGTATTTGTCTGAAACCTTTTTCCTAATCAGAGACTCAACTGCTTCAATATTGTCATGGTTAAATTTTTGAAGCGGTTCAGGGTCTCGAATACAACCATTTTTTTGGTTCCCGATAAATCTGCTTTCAAATGACAATGATGGAAATTGTATGATCTAAATCAGGAACCCCTAGGACTTCCTGTGTTAAAATAATCCGCAATTGTTCTACAAAAAATGTTTGTAAATAAAAATTGAATTTTCGTTTCTTTTCTCCCTCAGAAAATCGAAGCAGTTGCCCGACACATTCGACGCAATGATCGCCCCTTTGGTGGCATCCAGCTAATACTCTGCGGTGATTTCCTGCAACTACCACCTGTGATAAAACGTGAAGATAACTCCTCCCAAACACCACCACAACGTTTCTGTTTCCAATCGAGTGCTTGGGAAAAATGTATAGAATTCGTTTATGAACTGAAAGAGGTACATCGTCAATCGGATCCTGAATTTGTTAGTATACTCAATCACCTGCGTATTGGCCATATCAATGAGGATATAACCAAACGTCTCAAGGCCACTTCAAAACAAAAAGTCGAAGGCAATGGCATTTTGGCCACTCAGCTATGTTCACACACCAATGATGCCAATTCCATAAATGAATCGAAATTAGAAAATCTCCCAACCGAAAAGGTTCTCTTCAGAGCCGAGGATTCTGATCCAACAATGACCAAACAATTGGATTCCCAAGTCCAGGCACCATCACAACTATACTTGAAAATTGATGCCCAGGTAATGTTATTGAAAAATATCAACATTTCTCAAGGTTTGGTCAACGGGGCACGTGGTGTGGTGGTACGATTTGAAAAGGGTGTACCCGTGGTGAGATTTAAAAATAACACCGAATATTCGTGTAAACATGAGAAATGGATTATTAAGACACCAAATGGTGGTACGGTCACCAGGCGTCAAGTGCCCCTAAAATTGGCATGGGCTTTCTCTATACACAAGTCGCAGGGTCTGACATTGGATTGTGTTGAAATGTCTCTGTCAAAGGTGTTTGAGGCTGGCCAAGCGTATGTTGCCTTGTCCCGTGCCAAATCTTTGGATTCAGTGCGCATTTTAGATTTTGATCCCAAACAGGTTTGGGCCAATCCTCAAGTATTACAGTATTATAAACTATTCCGACGACGCCTGCATGACACCACCATGATTCCGCTGGGTGCCAAAAACAAAGAGGAAAAGAAAAAGACGGGAGAGACTGCCAGTGCTTTGGCTAAAATTAAAAAGAGCCTCATGGCTAAACCTTTGGTCTCAATTAGTTAGTTTTGACAAGAGATTTAGGGAATCGAATAAAAGCATTTCAAAAAACTCACTGCCTTAGAAGCTTTTTTTAAATCATATAATTTTTAGTAACAGAATTTTTTTCTTTATACCATCATCTCGAAATACAGATATGATAATTTAATTATTAATTTAATTTAGCAACAAATTTTTGTATTAGTTTGTAAGTAAGCATAACCAAACAAGAACAACATATTTACCAAGACGTTTTAGAAAAATCATCACTGACATTCTCAAAATATGTAGCATTTAAAATTTTCTTTTGTGTCTCCTTTTTGCCTTTTGTGTTCTGCGTATTTAATTTACATCTCAATCTTTGTAACCTCGTCACAAATTTTACTTTTTAAGGCCTTCTAAGGGTTAATCACTCACATCCATATAATTTTTCTTTATTATTTTTAAGCCTCACTTTTTTTAACTAGCAATACATTTTGCAATTTTTTCTCTAAGACTGCTTTAAAAACATTATTTAGAAATTAAATTATGATTGTAAAATTATTTTAATAAAAATTTAGAACAATTGTATTTTGAAAAAAAAAATAGCTTTTTCCTCTAGATAAGATTAATCCGACCTTCCCTCTTAAGATATTTTGGTCTTCGTCTAAAGAAAGTGCTTTTTTGATCTTCATATAGTGAAGAAAAAAGTCTTTTGGTCTTCCACTAAGAATAATACCTCTTGACCTCCTTTTGAAGAATACCTTTTAGTCTTCCCCTAAAGATGAAGACTAAAAGGTCTATCTTTTGGTATTTCTCTACAGAAGAAATCTTTTTGGTCCACCTCTAAAGAATAAGACCTTTTGGCCTTCTTCTAATGATTATGATCGAACTTTCCTCTAAGGAAAAATAGTTTTTGGCTTACTTCTAAAGAAAAATATATTTTTATCTACCTGTACAGAAGAATGCATCTTTATATTCCTCCAAAGAAAAATGCGTGTTAATCTTCCTCTAAAGGACAAGACCTTTTTGCCTTCTTCTGGAAAAGACGATCCTTTTGACATTCTCTAAAGAAGGCGACCAGTTAGCCTTCCTCCAAAGAAGAATAACTATTGGGCATTTCTATAAAGAAGTATCCCTTTGGGTTCCCTATAAAATAGAACATTTTTTTGTCTTCATCTAAATAAGACCTTTTGATCTTCCTCTACAGAAAAAAACCTTTTGGTCGACTTCAGTCGGTTTCGAAGTCTTCCTGACTACCTCAGTCGTTTTCCGAAGTTTTCATGACAATCTCAGTCGTGACTATAGCAGTCGACTTCTTTTCTATAGCAGTCGACTTCCTGACTATAGCGGTCGACATCCGAAGTCTTCCTGACAATACAAGTCGACTTCCCAAGACTTCCTGATTACCTCAGTCGATTTCCTGAATGTATCAGTCGACATCCAGGTCCTTCTGACGATATCAGTCGCCTTCGAAGTCTTCCCGACTATATTAGTCGACTTCCAAAGTCTTCCTGACTATATCAGTCGACTTCCAGTCTACCTCAGTCGACTTCCGAAGTCTTCCTGATTATATCAGTCGATTTCCGAAGTCTTCCTGACTATATCAGTCGACTTCCGAAGTCTTCCTGACTATATCAATCGACTTCCGAAGTCTTCCTGACTATATCAATCGACTTCCGAAGTCTTCCTGACTATATCAGTCGACTTCCGAAGTATTCCTTACTATATCAGTCGACTTCCGAAGTCTTCCTGACTATATCAGTCGACTTCCGAAGTCTTCCTGACTAAATCAGTCGACTTCCGAAGTCTTCCTGACTATATCAGTCGACTTCCGAAGTCTTCCTGACTGTATCAGTCCATTTCCGAAGTCTTCCTGACTATATCAGTCGACTTCCGAAGTCTTCCTGACTATATCAGTCGACTTCCGAAGTCTTCCTGACTATATCAGTCGACTTCCGAAGTCTTCCTGACTATATCAGTCGACTTCCGAAGTCTTCCTGACTATATCAGTCGACTTCCGAAGTCTTCCTGACTATATCAGTCGACTTCCGAAGTCTTCCTGACTATATCAGTCGACTTTCGAAGTCTTCATGACTATATCAATCGACTTCCGAAGTCTTCCTGACTATATCAGTCGACTTCCGAAGTCTTCCTGACTATCTCAGTCGACTTCTGAAGTCTTCCTGTCTATATCAGCCGTCTTCCGAAGTCTTCCCGACTATATTAGTCGACTTCCAAAGTCTTCCTGACTATATCAGTCGACTTCCAGTCTACCTCAGTCGACTTCCGAAGTCTTCCTAAGTCTTCCTGACTATATCAGTCGACTTCCGAAGTCTTCCTGACTATATCAGTCCATTTCCGAAGTCTTCCTGACTATATCAGTCGACTTCCGAAGTCTTTTTGACTACATTAGTCGACTTCCAAAGTCTTCCTGACTATATTAGTTGACTTCCGAAGTCCTCCTGACTACCTCAGACGACTTTCGAAGTCTTCCTGACTATCTCAGTCGACATTCGAAGTCTTCCTGGCTATTTCAGTTCATTTCCAATGTAACATCATAATTCCGAAATCATCCTGATTATATCAGTCGACTTCCGAGGTCTTCCTGACTATAGCAGTCGATTTCCGAAGTCTTCCTGGCTATATTTGTCGACTTCCAAAGTATCCCTGACTAAATTAGTCGACTTCCGAAGTATTCCTGACTATTTCATTCGACTTCCGAAGTCTTCCTGACTATTTCATTCGTCTTCTGAAGTCTTCCTGACAATCTCAGTCGACATCCGTAGTCTTCCTGACTACCTCGGTAGACTTCCGAAGTTTTTCTGACAAAATCAGTTGATGTCCAAAATCATCCTGATTATATCAGTCAACTTCCGAAGTCTTTCGGACTATATCAGTCGATTTCCAACATCTTCTTGAGTACCTCAGTCTGCTTCCGAAGTCTTCCTAACTACATCAGTCGACTTCCGAAGTCTTTCTGACAAAATCAGTTGATGTCCAAAATCATAGATTATATCATATTTTCCTACATATAAGATTTGTAGAAATATAGAAAATATTTCTACAAGATTTGGTTCTCGAAGACTACCAGCCCTATAGGCGTGAGTTTATAAAGAATATTTCTACAAGAATTTGTATGCCAAATAGGCGTGGGTTAAAAAGGATTTTTCTTCAAGAATTCGTGGGTTTATAAAGAAAAATTTTCCAAAATATTTTTTCAAGAATTAGTCATCAAGGACTGCCAGCCCTATAGGCGTGGGTTTATAAAAAAAATATTTCTACAAGTATTCGTAGGCCAAATATGCGTGCGATTATAATATAATACGGATGAATCTGCGGGTAGTGGTCCATTTTGTCACTTCCATACTAAATAATGCCTGTGGATCCTCTATAAAATGTTTTCGATTTCAATACTTTTGTTTGTTTACCATTTTATTTTAATTGCAATGAAGATATCCTAATAACAATAATTGTTGTTGTATGGTGTGGCCACAAAGATTTTCCATAAAAAACACACCCATTGTAAATGTTAGACATTTTATGAAGGTTTTTGTTACTGTTTTCTTGGAGCAGTATTTTGGTTATATTTTCTGTTTGCTTTCATCTTAGCTATGGCGTGGAAAGTTAAGAGGAAATAATTTAGCTAATAAATGTTCTGGTAGAGAAGATAACTGGCAGCTTGGCAGCTCACACACAACAGATCAATGTTCTTGTTCCTCGCTGGCTTTTTTGGCGCCACTACCAATGGGTCCGTGGCGACGTTCCCAAATCAAACGATGCTTTTGTTTCATGTAGGCAGCTTTGGCATTGGTGTAGGCACCCAAATCACCATCTATAAGAGAGGATATGTTTTAATATTTAAAATTGTCTATTATTTGTATTGACATACATTTAATGAACCAATTTTCGGCAGCCTTTTCGTATTGCTCCAAAACGGGTTTACATTTCTCTATGTGATCGGGAGCCTCATACAGAGTGCAGTCCTCGAAACGTTGACGCAAAATCTGTACAATATCGTTGTCGACCATGCGATCACGACGGAATTGTTGATCAGCCTCGAAGCGGCAGACAACATCATCTGTATAGCATTGATCGATGGTGGGTACACGACGGTATTGTTGATGATACCAGGCATATTTCTTTTGATTGGGTTCAACAATGCTTTCTGCAAAGAAAGAGGAACACTTTTCAATGTTAGAATGTAAACAAATCAAAATAACAACAAATACTGGACAAATGACAGTTGCCGTTGTACGACGATATTGAGGTTATGTCATTATGTAATGGAATCCTCAGAAATATCACCAAATTCCAAATAATTTTGGGATATTATGGATATCCATCACATCCAGAGCCTATTGTACAATGTCGTGAGTTAATTGGCATACCTTTGAACCATGTAACTGGGCCATCAATTACATTATACAAGGCATCAGCAAAAGCTGCCATGGGACTGCGAGCTTCGGGCATTTTGCTTCTTCTCTATTGGCAAAGAATAGAAAAATGTTAATTAATTTAATGTTTTTTATATAAAATATTGTTAAAATTATTAATTTATTTACATTTCTTCACCCAACAAAGAGGAAAATATTAGAAAATACACCAAATTTTTTAGTTTATATTCCGTCTGTCCGGTTTTAAAAACCCGAAAAACTAAATGTTTTTTCTCAGCTGTCAGTTGGGTGCAGAGAAACAGCTGATGATAGCAAATTAATCGATAGTTTTTACTATCGATTAGTTTTATAGGAGAAATGCTTATGGGAGAGAAAGGGGAAGAAACTGTGGTCTGTTTTTCTCAGTTAATATATAAATAAATAAAGTTTTTTTGCAGGAAAATCGGAAAATTCCAAGGCGTCAATTTCCCAAATGCTGTTATAATGAACTGTTGATGCCAAGGGTTGTATTTTGCCATGTAAAGGTTGTGGAATTGACTGCAATAAAGTGGGTTTATGGCAAACGTTATGAAATGCTGTAAAAACGGCCGAATGACATCACGACCGAGATTCAAAACATATGAAAGGTGTCAAGGTGAAGAATCAAAAGCAAATTTACAGGAAATTTGGAAATTAAGAATATTTTGAAAATTAATACGACTAACCTAAGGGAAAATAGAACAGATACATAAGATCACGGGACATTTCTTCAGGAGGAGTACAATAAAAATGAAGGTAAACTTCAATATAAAATTTATAAAGAAGAAATCAAAATAATGTTCGATTAAAGGAAAGGTATGTTCGATGGGAATATTTTATTTAAGAATGATTATTATGTTATGGATATATTAAATTCGAACCATCAGCCCAATAGGCGTGAATTTATAATGAATAGAATTCGTAGGCTAATAGTTGCGGATTTATAAAGAATACTTTTACAAGAATTCGTAGGCCAATAGGCGTGGATATATAAAGAATAGTTCCACAAGGACCGTCAGCCCAATAGACTTGGATTTTTAAAGAATATTTTCCCATCGATTGGCAGACCTCTAGGCGTGGATTTTTTAAAGAATATTTTTTGAAGGTGTGGCAGACCTCTAGGCGTGGATTTTTTAAAGAATATTTTTTGAAGGTGTGGCAGACCTCTAGGCGTGGATTTTTTAAAGAATATTTTTTCATCGATTGACAGACCTCAAGGCGTGGATTTTTTAAAGAATATTTTTTTCAAGGTGTGAAGGTGAATGGCAGACCTCTGGGCGTGGATTTTTTAAAGAATATTATTTCAATGATTGGCAGACCTCTAGGCGTGGATTTTTTAAAGAATATTTTTGGAAGGTGTGGCAGACCTCTAGGCGTGGATTTTTTAAAGAATATTTTTGGAAGGTGTGGCAGACCTCTAGGCGTGGATTTTTTAAAGAATATTTTTGGAAGGTGTGGCAGACCTCTAGGCGTGGATTTTTTAAAGAATATTTTTGGAAGGTGTGGCAGACCTCTAGGCGTGGATTTTTTAAAGAATATTTTTGGAAGGTGTGGCAGACCTCTAGGCGTGGATTTTTTAAAGAATATTTTTGGAAGGTGTGGCAGACCTCTAGGCGTGGATTTTTTAAAGAATATTTTTGGAAGGTGTGGCAGACCTCTAGGCGTGGGATTTTTTAAAGAATATTTTTGGAAGGTGTGGCAGACCTCTAGGCGTGGATTTTTTAAAGAATATTTTTGGAAGGTGTGGCAGACCTCTAGGCGTGGATTTTTTAAAGAATATTTTTGGAAGGTGTGGCAGACCTCTAGGCGTGGATTTTTTAAAGAATATTTTTGGAAGGTGTGGCAGACCTCTAGGCGTGGATTTTTTAAAGAATATTTTTGGAAGGTGTGGCAGACCTCTAGGCGTGGATTTTTTAAAGAATATTTTTGGAAGGTGTGGCAGACCTCTAGGCGTGGATTTTTTAAAGAATATTTTTGGAAGGTGTGGCAGACCTCTAGGCGTGGATTTTTTAAAGAATATTTTTGGAAGGTGTGGCAGACCTCTAGGCGTGGCAGACCTCTAGGTGTGGATTTTTTAAAGAATATTTTTTCAACGATTGGCAGACCTCTAGGCGTGGCAGACCTCTAGGTGTGGATTTTTTAAAGAATAATTTTTCAATGATTGGCAGACCTCTAGGCGTGGATTTTTTAAAGAATATTTTTTCAATGATTGGCAGACCTCTAGGCGTGGCAGACCTCTAGGCGTGGATTTTTTAAAGAATATTTTTTCATCGATTGGCAGACCTCTAGGCGTGGATTTTTTAAAGAATATTTTTTCATCGATTGGCAGACCTCTAGGCGTGGATTTTTTAAAGAATATTATTTCAATGATTGGCAGACCTCTAGGCGTGGATTTTTTAAAGAATATTATTTCAATGATTGGCAGACCTCTAGGCGTGGATTTTTTAAAGAATATTTTTTCATCGATTGGCAGACCTTTTGGAAGGTGTTGCAGACCTTTTGGAAGGTGTTGCAGATTTTTTAAAGAATATTTTTGGAAGGTGTGGCAGACCTCTAGGCGTGGATTTTTTAAAGAATATTTTTGGAAGGTGTGGCAGACCTCTAGGCGTGGATTTTTTAAAGAATATTTTTGGAAGGTGTGGCAGACCTCTAGGCGTGGATTTTTTAAAGAATATTTTTGGAAGGTGTGGCAGACCTCTAGGCGTGGATTTTTTAAAGAATATTTTTGCAAGGTGTGGCAGACCTCTAGGCGTGGATCTTTTAAAGAATATTTTTGGAAGGTGTTGCAGACCTCTAGGCGTGGATTTTTTAAAGAATATTTTTGGAAGGTGTGGCAGACCTCTAGGCGTGGATTTTTTAAAGAATATTTTTTCATCGATTGACAGACCTCAAGGCGTGGATTTTTTAAAGAATATTTTTGGAAGGTGTGGCAGACCTCTAGGCGTGGATTTTTTAAAGAATATTTTTTCATCGATTGACAGACCTCAAGGCGTGGATTTTTTAAAGAATATTTTTGGAAGGTGTGGCAGACCTCTAGGCGTGGATTTTTTAAAGAATATTTTTTCATCGATTGACAGACCTCAAGGCGTGGATTTTTTAAAGAATATTTTTGGAAGGTGTGGCAGACCTCTAGGCGTGGATTTTTTAAAGAATATTTTTGGAAGGTGTGGCAGACCTCTAGGCGTGGATTTTTTAAAGAATATTTTTGGAAGGTGTGGCAGACCTCTAGGCGTGGATTTTTTAAAGAATATTTTTGGAAGGTGTGGCAGACCTCTAGGCGTGGATTTTTTAAAGAATATTTTTGGAAGGTGTGGCAGACCTCTAGGCGTGGATTTTTTAAAGAATATTTTTGGAAGGTGTGGCAGACCTCTAGGCGTGGATTTTTTAAAGAATATTTTTGGAAGGTGTGGCAGACCTCTAGGCGTGGATTTTTTAAAGAATATTTTTGGAAGGTGTGGCAGACCTCTAGGCGTGGATTTTTTAAAGAATATTTTTGGAAGGTGTGGCAGACCTCTAGGCGTGGATTTTTTAAAGAATATTTTTGGAAGGTGTGGCAGACCTCTAGGCGTGGATTTTTTAAAGAATATTTTTGGAAGGTGTGGCAGACCTCTAGGCGTGGATTTTTTAAAGAATATTTTTGGAAGGTGTGGCAGACCTCTAGGCGTGGATTTTTTAAAGAATATTTTTGGAAGGTGTGGCAGACCTCTAGGCGTGGATTTTTTAAAGAATATTTTTGGAAGGTGTGGCAGACCTCTAGGCGTGGATTTTTTAAAGAATATTTTTGGAAGGTGTGGCAGACCTCTAGGCGTGGATTTTTTAAAGAATATTTTTGGAAGGTGTGGCAGACCTCTAGGCGTGGATTTTATTAAGAATATTTTTGGAAGGTGTGGCAGACCTCTAGGCGTGGATTTTATTAAGAATATTTTTGGAAGGTGTGGCAGACCTCTAGGCGTGGATTTTATTAAGAATATTTTTGGAAGGTGTGGCAGACCTCTAGGCGTGGATTTTATTAAGAATATTTTTGGAAGGTGTGGCAGACCTCTAGGCGTGGATTTTTTAAAGAATATTTTTTGTAGGATTGGACCATTTTATAGTTTTTTCGTGAGGTGTAGGGTACCGTCCATTATATTGATGTCACTTGATTTATTCTTGGTAGTGATCTTTTGAGTTCTGTTGTACTTGATGCTGTCCCAAAATTTTGGCAGGCAATGCCAATAAACATCGCGTATAGTTTCTAAGAACCGTGAGAAAGTGCGTCATTTACCTTCAGTGGGAAAACGAGTGCCACACGTCGTCGATGTTTCGTCTTTTTTAATGTGAAACTATTTTTATGTGAAGATGTCAACGAATTTTTTCTAATACGTACATATATCGGTATATGTGTTTAGTTTGTTTGCAAGGTTAAGGCTATAAATTACAGAGGCAAATATTTGAGATTTTAAAATGAATATAAAATTGGGAATAAAATATATATAGCCATAAAAAGGGGATTAAAAATAACAATAAAAATTGGATTAGCAGTTTGAATACAAAATTAATTTTTTTTTTTTTAATTTGGACATTAGTCAAATCTAAAACTGAATTAATTACTTCTTCTTTGGATAATTTGGAATTGTAGAATATTCTAACCGAAAATTTTGACACATTTAAAGCCCTTATGGGTCAACATCTTATATATGGAAAAACCTTGGCTAAGTCAAGGACCTTATATATCCATACCTCACCTGTAAATACATTTGTAGGTACTCATCTTCCTCTATAGGTGATGAATTTATTATACTAATCAGTATAGACCCATAATTGCCCCCATAACAAATTCCCCCACGTGTGTTTTTCGTCTACGATCACAGACCCCTATGGCGGTGTAGAGGTCAATCTTGCCGGTGCAATTTTTATTTGGATGATGAAATCCCCCGATATTTTTACATCAGCCAGCACAATGAAGCACGTTGCAGACACAACAAACAGACAGACAGACAATGTGCATTGTTCTCGTGAGTGTCGTGGCTAGGTTAATGCTTTCCCCAAAGGAAAGGTGATAAATCGAAGCGAATCAATTGAATAGAATAATCGAATTATTGACATATGGCAGATATTTATTCTGGAATATATTGGAAATATTGAAAAAAAAAAATTAATGACCCGATGCGTATACCGATAAACCTTTTTCAGACCTCAAGAGGTTGAATTTAAAAGAATATTGTTTGACCTCTAGGCGTGGATTTTTAAAGAATATTTTTAAAAGGGCTACTTGAGCTCTAGACGTGG